GGGCGGGGGCGCCGCCCGCGCTGAGGGGATGCGGGAGGGCCGCGGCCCCCGCCCCGCCCCGCTCCGCGGCTTCTGTGCGGTGGCGGGGTTGCTAATAAGCGCTTTCTTCACCTTTTTTCCCTCCCGCAATAAATCGTGGGCTTGGGGGTTTTCCCACCCGCACGCACAGCCCCCCAGCCAAGAGACCCGTGTCCGCCGCCCCCTCTTCGTGTCCGCCGCCTCATCTCGCTGCCGGTGCCTTCGGTCGCCCTCTGTGCAAAAAACGAGGTCGAGCCCCTCAAGTTACAGCGTTTGAGCTGTTTTTATTGTGTCTTACACTCCCAGGAGCTTTGGAGCTTTCAGGCTTCTCCGCAGCTGTTTTAAGGAATCATCATTTTTGTGACCCGACGCGCCACAGAATGTGTAAAAAACCCCAAAAAGTCTGGTGTAGTTGTAGACTCGTGTAAGCGGCTGCTTGCCTTGAAGGGGAGGGGAAACGACCTTGCAAACCCATCTGAGCATGGCCTTAGGAGTCACAAGTTGCATGCCAAATAAAGAGCTGGAAAACCACTGGAGCGAGGAATCGTGGGCACCGGATGAGGGAAAGCTGATGAAGCAGGAAAATGGATTAAGTCATTACAGTCTGTGTGATGCTAGGAATTTAATTTTTTTTTTAGTATCTGACTTATTGCTGTGGTATCTACAAATAGTTCCTTAACCTAGATGCTTGATGCAAAACAATCAGCAATTCCAGGCACAGCAGCTGCTGATTATTAATGCTGGTAGTGCAGTGCATAACACGCTGCAGAGGCCATTCAGGAGAGACAGGGGAAAAGCTTGCCCTTAAAGGAGGTGGGACAAAACTGGCTCTGAGGTGCCATTCTCAATTTAAAAGGAATTATATGGTTCAGCAAAAACAACTGCTGCACAAGGAGATCTGAGAACAACCACCATTTTCTGACTGGTGTTTAAATGTTGCCTCACTGTAAGGGATAGATGAGCGCATGTCCTGAAGCAGGATAGTTTGGATGCTTTCAAATTTCATACAAGATAAACACAGATATGTTTTCTATCCTTAAAACGGTCATTTCTTCACAGTTCCTGTTAAACTACACCTCTTGTTTCCTACAGTGGATTGAGATATTGCTTCTCTGTTTTGTCAGCTGTTTGAGTTGTAGTCGTGGCAGATCCTTGATCACTTTTGGTATGATTCAAGAGAAAACATATACAAGTCAGAAACAAAATATTCCCTCCTCTGTTATTCCAGCTGTTGACACAATTGAGGATTAGCTCTTATCTTTAGTCCTCCTCCATAATTGCAAGCAACTGTTCGTTAGTTTGGACTCTCAGATGAAGCCAGATGTAAATAAAGACCCTGAGTGTACAGCCAGGCACGAACAAGGGTGTCACAGGGCCTGTCACAATGGGCTTTGGCCAGGAGACAATCAGGCTTTGCAAGCAGCTGCAGCAAAGATGCAGCAAAGATGCACTGTGTTCGTATTTTGAAATCTGATGGGAAAGGTGAACAATCAATCTTGATACGTGTGGTATTTTTGAGGCAGGATGAAGCATGGCAGTGGATGAGTGATGCTGTATTTTAAAGAAAGTGTAGAGGATTCTCCAATTAACAGTTAATTCTGTCAGTAAATGAGGTCTCAGTGGATTGAAGTCCCAGAAATAAGTAGCAAAAATGCAGTACGAGGAGTGCATCACTGGTCCAGCTAACAAGGCAGGGAGATCAGAGCCTGAGAGGCAGAAAACACAATCATAAGTGCCTTCAGTAACTTAAATTAAGTTGGATAAATGTCACAGGAGGGAGTAGGGCTGGAGCTAACATTTCATGAAGTAACTGTGACTCCTCATTGGGAAACCAGAAGAGGAAAAGCAATCCCTGGTCTTAAAGAGTGCCATATTATTGACAAAGACCCACGCTGTAGCAGGAGCTGTAGCATCCTTGATTTCGACACCCTTATAGCACCATGACAAAGAAAATCAGCAGTGTTCTGCTTTCTTTTCAAAAACAGAGGAGCAGTATAGAACAAGACACACCTTTCATTAAAGGGGGTAAACGAAAGGACTTGATAGGTTAAGTACAAAATTATGAGAAGGCTACAGAAGGAAGTCTGAGGGTCAGCTTGCAAAAGTTATAAGAAATAATAGCAGGTCTTTCTAGAAAAAAATCAGGGAGCCTGCTGGAGTTTGACAGCTCTGTAAGGCAAATAGATTGTTTCATACACAGAAGAAACATCTGGAGAAGATACAGCCAGGAAAAAAAGGCTGAATTTGTTTTTGCATTTGTGGATGGGATAGATGAGCATGGGTAAGCTCCAATAATGGGAAGCTTCTTTAAGGGGAATAATTAGGAAAACATGTCTTGGATTACAGTGCAAGTATAAAAGATGAAAGAACACATTAACAAGTGAGCAGCAGCCAACTGCTGAGGCCAGATGGTGTTCAACCACGAGTTGTTAAGCAGCTCAAAGTGGTTCAGGTACTAACTGCTCTCTCTGACTTCTCTCTTAAAGTTACCTCGGTGTCAGAGGGGTCTGGAGAGTTGCTCATGTGACAACAGATTTTTTAAAGGATTTTGGAGAAGATTGTAGAAGCTGTAGATGTTGAAGCCCAATCTCCTTGATAGACTAATAAGTAGAAATTATGCTGAAGAACAGAAAAAACTTAGTGGCCACACAGAAAAGATTACACATTAGGGAAAGCCATTATGGCCTTTTTAAAGCAAATTAGTGCCTCAGGAAAGCTTTATTTGAAGAAGTCAAGAAGCTCATGGATCATGAAGATTCAATTAACTGTCTATGATGGTTTCCAAAAGCAATCAGTAAGATTCCCCCCCAAGGGAAGTAAAAAACAAGGCTGCTAATGGGTATGAAACTTGGATAAACAACTGATGGAAATGGAGGCCAGTAGTGAGTTACAAAATATGTTGCTGATAATGAGCTATTCAGGGCAGGGCTAACTGAGAAAAACAGAATGACTTCATGCTATTAACAGAGTTGGTGGCAAAACGGCAGATGAAATTAAATCTGATAAATATGAAAGGCTGACATATGAGAGAAAAAAATCCTGAATTTCACATGTATACTTGGGAACTTTGAGTTGATTTTTACCAGTGAGAAAAAAGGCCTTGAGGTTGTGAAAGCTGGTTCTGTGAGAGCATCAACTCAGGGCTCAGCAGTGATCAAAATGGAAACTGAGAACTGTTAAGATTATTGTTAAAATTTGTTAAGGGAGAAATCAAGATAAAAAGTGCCATTGTATCAATCCCTGTTTGTGCCTTCATCTTTAATTCCCTGTGCAGTTCTAGCTCAAAAACAGTATGGTAGAACTGGAATAGATTAAATAAAAATCAATGCAATTATCAGAAATAGTAGGAGGGCTTTGAAAGGGATCATGGTTGACTCAGCTGGGCTTCTTCAGTCTGCAGGGAAGGGGAGATAATATCAAAGTCTATGTAAAATCTTCAGAGATCCAAATAAGGACCAGGAATCCAGACTGCTCACTGGCTTATCAGACACCAGAACTGAGCTGCAGCAAATGAAAGGAGAACTTGGAAGGTTCAAAACAAACAAGAAAAGATAGTGCTTCATTCAGTCTGTAGTTAAGCCAGAAGTCTTTGCTTTAGGATATAGTGGGCACCAAAACTTTGCATGAGCTTAAAAAGCAACTGGAAAATCATCAAAGACTCTTGATCTAACTCAGCAAGTTCTTGACTTGCAAGTTGCTGGAGCTGGAAATACATTTTGGGGAAGTACAGAACATGTTTTCCCAGTTCTTTCTGTCTTCCTGCTCATATCTGTCTGAAACAGTTGGGCTGGGTAGAGCTTTCAGCCAAGCCAATATCAGTTTTTATAGATTTAGGATTATTTTTACCTCCCAACCCCAGGTCATCCAGCTGTCAACATCTCCCCACACTATTTCTGGTTAAGTAATTGCATAGGGTTTTTTCACTGCCTTCTTGTTTTGCCTTTCCCTGTTCACTGCTTCTAGCATTATATTTAAGCCCACATGGATTTTTGGCACTGCCTACTATTTTGAGAAAAAAAAAAAACCAACTCATTAAAATCTTTAATGTGTTCTTCCCAGAAGCATTAAAAACAAATTATCACTTGTAGGTGTAGTGCCTTCCTCATTTCTGGGATAATGGAAGTTGTCAGCACAATCCCAAATACAACCAACATGGGAGGAGTGATGTTATAGGTAGTGTGCTGCTCTGGAGAAAAACAATACAGTGTATGGTGGAGAAGTCAGTGGTCCAAAGGGGTGGATGTACAGCAGGTTGTTATTCTTCAACCATCTAAGTTGGCTTTGTGAACTAATGTGAAACAGAATAGAAATATTCATACTTCCCATTTCAACTGGTGCAGACAGTGGCTTAGGACTGCTGGAGTGTAGAAGTATCAATATAAATATTTAATTTATAATGATGGTAGACCAGGTATGATTTGTGTCCTTTTGCGTTTCTTTTTCCTAGCAGAAAATATTTTCATGCAGTTCAGTGTTTTAAGTCTATTAATAATTGTACAAAGCCTTAACAGCAGAGATTGTAATGTATATATTAATAATGCATTTGCAGAGAAAAACATATTAATGCTTTTCTAAATGCTCAATTAAGCAATTACCTAATGCTACAAAGCATTAGTAACAGAGTGCAAGTATAATCTTAAAATGTTTTATGATACTGTCTAAGAGTTTTTCTAAGAAATCTAAGAAAGGAGCCAGGAGTGAAGCAGGCTTTGAGGAGAGAAGCATCCAGCCCACTGTGACAAACAGCTTTGGGAGGTTGTCACAGCTCCTCCTCTGTGGCTTGGCTGGCCAAGGACTGAACCATGGCCACAAGACTATCTGTGGTCTGCCACTTCCAGAACTATTAAATCGCAGCAGCCTGAGTCAAAAACACTTTTCTAGCTTCTTTCTTCTCCTTCTTTCTCTGTTGTCCCAGC